CAGGAGTTGACTGATTCTATGAAGCTTAAAGCAGTGAAATATAAATTAGCTGTTTTTTAACTTAAGTGCATTAACCCACGTATGCATTTTTTTTAAAATTGTACTTAGCGCTTCATATAATATATGGAGGTATAAGGGCTTGATATCGTAGATGAAAAAACAAGCTAACTTCTTTCTTTGCACAGAACTAGACAATGTTTCTTGAATGATGAGACAGCGTGGAAGTATAAACAATATTTATTATGTTTGATCATTTGCATATATTTTATAAAGGATTCTGCAAGAAAGCTTTTACTTCATATAGTGAAACAGATGCAGCTATTGGGATTTTGCAGTAAAAGCCGACTGTTTAGAAATATTCTAATCTCTTTTCCAAATGAACTTTTTTTCCTTTGACATTAATCAGATATGCATTATAAGAGCCAGCACTCCAAACATAAAGGATTCTGTTACCTATAATCTTCTGCATACTCTGTAAATGTACTTTGGAACTGCTCTAAGTATTAGCTTCAAGATGAAAATGAAAAGATACTTTCTGCATTTGTTTACTTAGGCATTTGGGGCCTGATCCAACAAGGTGCTGAGCCCCCTCAAGTCGATTGACTTATGTAGCAGTTGAGAACATCCAGCACCTTGCTGGAACCAGCCCTAAAGCAGTGGCATAATAAGATGTAGTTCATCACCAATTTTAGATCAAGTTAGACACTCTGGGCTGAATTCAACTCTGGTGTCACCTAGGGCTTGGCTACCCTTGCAAGTTACAGTGCAATAAAGGAGCCCCGGGTGCACTAGTTCACTACCCGTCCACGCTGGCAAGGCACATAGAGCGCTCTGACTCCACGGCTACAACACTGCATGTACTCCGCCTCGGCAAGAGGAATAATGTTTGCTGCACCCCCCGCTGGAGCGCTGCGGCACCAGTGTGAATGAGGTGTTGCATTACTGCGCTGTGATCAGCCTCCAGAAACATTCCATAATCCCCGTAAGTCAAGTGGCCACTCTTGTCATTGTTTTGAACTCCTGTAGGAATGCGGAAATGCCCTTTCAAAGCTCCATTTCTGACAGCCGGCATGCAAGCCGTTACTGTGGAATGCTGTGTGTGAGAGAGAGAGAGGGCGGGGGGGGAGGGAGGAGGGGGAGGTCTGCTGCTGTCTGAACTTACAAGACAGCATGCTGACATGCTCTCAGCCCCCCAAAAACCCACTCTCTCTCCCCCCACATACACACAACACCCTCCCTGTCACACTCCACCCCACTCCACTCCATTTGAAAAGCATGTTGCAGTCACTTGCATGCTGGGATAGCTGCCCATAATGCACCACTCCCAATGCTGCTGCAAGTGCCGCAAATGTGGCCAGGCCAGTGCGTTTGAAGCTGTCAGTGTGGACAGATTGCAGCACTTTCCCTACTGCGCTCTATGAAGGCGGGTTTAACTCACAGCGCTCTACATCTGCAAGTGTAGGCTAGTGGTGAGTATGGCTCTGTGTGTGTATTCACTGCTCACTGTGACCATTGCAGCTGTACTATAACTGCAAATGAAGTGGGCTATGTGTTGTACAGTAAATCAAGAGATATATTTCAGAGGGAAAAGTTACTAATTTTTTTCAACAAATTTAGATCTGGTGAAAAGCATCAGAATAGCGGCTCTGAAAATTGAAGTCCTCTGTGCACAGAACAGGTACAGCTTTAAGCTTCAGGCTTGCTTTTGAGGGACCACATGAAAGGGAGAGACATTAGATCAGTCTTCAATGTCTGTTCAGTCCTTGGCATCTCTACAAGAACTGTCATCAAAAGTGCCAATTAGTGTCAACTGTAATAGTGATTTATTTTACTTTTTTACTGAGGACATCAGTTCACTAGGAAGTGCAGTAAAACTATCATTTCATTACATGAAGACCACATCGATCATCAGTTGGTAACTAGACTACAACCTAGAGGTGGATATTTACAATCTAGATTACAACCTAGAGGTGTATATTTAATTTTAAATTTTTTTTTCCATCCATCTCACCCAAGCTCAGTATTTTGGGTATTGAAAAGGCAGCTGAAGGAAAGATAATCCTCTATGCAAACACTGAAGTGTATGGTTAAAATTATAGTTCTTTGTCTTGGCCACCACACAATAAAATCTGTACTAGGCCTGATCTACAAGTAAATGCCTCCACTGGAAAAACCGCACTTCCTCTAAGGTGTCTCTTTTAGACTGAACAAGCTTTTAATCCACTATGGTTTAATAGACCTGCAATAGACCGCCAATGCTGGTCCAAGGATCTACACCAGGAAAGGGACAGAACTGGGTAGGTCAACAGAACCGAGAGCATGCTGGGGAAAGAGAAGAGAACACTGAGCAGAGGTTAGGCAGAAGGAATAATAGGAGCACCCTCTGGGGCAGGCATCCTGCTCTCAGAGAGTCGGGTGGTGGCATAAGGCCTCCACCTGGATGGCCTGAGCATCCTGTAGATCCCAAGGAATTCACAGAGGTTGGAAGCATGCCCTGTGGCCTGTTCTCCAGGGAGCCAACCCATCATCCTGATGGAATGATAGGCAAGAGTCTCTCGGGGCAGAACCTCACTCTAAGTGCTATCCTACAGGTTTGCTGGTCAAGCCCTGTACATTTGCTATCACATACATCTTCAAGAAGAAGGCTCAACTTCTGCTTGCCTTGCTCACGAGTAATCCTTTAGAAAGACATCCCATAGACTCCAAGGGGATTACCTGAGTAGGAGAAGCAAATAAGATTTGGCTTCAGATTGCCCAGTAACTGGCTGTGATTACTAAAAAAATCCAAAAGAAATCATCTTGCATGTTATATGCGAACAAACAAAAACAAAAATCTGAAAGCAAAAAACACATCTCCATTTAAATTGAGGATAAAAAGTTGCGTTAGTTGATTTTTTTAGCACCTGCATAGTGGGATTTAATATATTTAGCTGCAAAAAAAGAGGACGGGGTGGGAGACATATTTGTCTTTAAAAAATTATCAGGACCTGTTTTTACATCATGTAACATTTTGTGTTGAGATTTAAAGTTCTGCTTTTTCAAATGAGTCCATCCTTATAGTTTTCTAAAAATGCAGTTATATATTCCTGACAGGCACTTTTAACCGAATGTCTTTTAAGTTTGGTGCATTAACTAAGTTGGACTGAAATAGCAAAAGCTTTTTGATGAGAACCTGAACTGCAGATCAAATATACATGAGTACATACCCTAACTGTGCCTCTTGTAGACTACAGGTTCAGTTCTGTTTCCACTGAAAAGAATGGGTGTTTGGCTGCTGACTTTAATGGGATCAGAGTTGTGTCCTTAGTCATGTCTTTCCTACACACCCAGGCATCAGACTGCATTGTAGGCTTTACTCAGGATAACTCTCACTGACTGCCATTAAACTATACTCAATTAATCTAATATGGCTACCCTCTTTGAAAAATGGTATTCCTTGAGACTGCAAAAGGAATATTGACCGTGCCCCAAATATTAAACATTGTGTAATTAATAGGAATTTTGCTTCAGTGATGACCAAAGTATCACACTTTCAGGTTTTGGCTTGGGATGCCTGCCCCAGAGGGGGCTTCTATTATTCCTTCTGCCTAGCCTTTGCAGAGTGTTCTCTTCCCCTTGAAAAAAACATAATGCAAATCTGAAAAGAGTCAATCTTTCATCTGAAACACTGTGCTTTCTTTAACTTTTTACTAAAATTTAAAGATTATAATAGAATTTAGCATTTTTCATAACATTTTAATCCTCTGAATATTTTCTGCTTTTGAAAACTACCCCTGGATTATTTCTCATAAGATACAATGAAAATTCTCTAAGGATTCCCCTTAAAGATGGAAAACAGGGATGAATTTTTCCAGATTTTGTATATTTTTAAAAAATGGATGACTAAACAATGCTGCATTCCTTCCACACCCAGGTATTCCTATTCACAGCACACAAGTAACTGGATGTGAGAGGGGTTTGCAGAATCGGACCCAACTTTGTAAATGGTAATCATGACCAATATTTTCCTCCTTTGGGTTTCTCATAACTGTAAAGAGAAACTACTAACAAAGGCACTTTAACTTAGAAAGAACGAATCCTAACGGTGCTGCAGCCTTTTAAAATTCTTACTAGGAAACTGATCCTGTTCCTGTTGAAGTCAGTAAGATCCCTGCCATTGACCAGCATGAATAGGATCTTTCAGGATCTTCTCTACTCCATATTATGGGACAAGGATCTGATCCCACTTCTGTTGACGTCAATGGGAAAAGGACTGGTCTCTAAACATGGGTATCATGATCTTATTGTTAATTGCAGTATTTTGGGACATCTTTCTTTGCTTAGCATTGTCAAACAGGAGCAACAAAATGATTAAAAGCTGTTGTTTAGTGAACATTTGAAAGGGAAATGCAATTTGAAATATAAGTATTCAAAATAGGTTCCTATCCTATCCAGAAAGCTTTTTTTGCATTTGTGCTCAGTTCAAATGTAAAATAAGGCAATAGATGCCAAGTTTCTAGACAGCTAATTCTGCATCGTTGTAAGAGCTGACTCTGCAAGCACCTGATCCTGTGAGAGAATTAAGGGTAGCAGATTCCTAGAGCTGTGTTTGGAAGTGACAGAAGCCTCTTTCCAGCCATTAATAATAATACCTACTTCTTATATAGCACTTTTCATCAATAGCTGTGAGAGCACCTTACAAAAGAGGCCAGTATCATTTTACAGATGGGGAAACTGAGGCACAGAAAGACATAGTGACTTGCCCAAGGTCACCCAGAAGGACAGTGGGCAGTGCCAGGAATAGAAACCAGAATTCCTGAATTCCTCTATGCGCTCGGCCACACTGCTTCCCTCATTAATATACGTACAGTATATACATATATTCACAGGTATGTGGATAATATACATATATATGATGGAGATAGTTCCATCGCTGTTGTTCCTTTGTTTTATACACTGTTATTCTGTTGATGACATAACTCATGAGTTCATAAAAGCCGAGCAGTTTTTTCAGAGTATTCTTTTCCAGCATATTTCAATTTTATTTTGCTTCACAACTTTTTTCTAAAGCAATTTGTCTTGAAACCAATGGCAGAAAAATGTGCTATACAGTGACTAACCTTTCATGGAATTTATCTTCACTCATGAGGGGTTGCTTCATTTATGGAGTTATTCCTCCTTTCTCCGCTCATGGGGATAAATGTCATAAATAACATTACATCTGGTATAGATCTCAATACATCATCTCCCTGCTCATTTGAAAGATGCTCCACAGAAGGATACAATTTATACTCTATGTACATCAGGCTTTGGTTTTCTTTTCTTTACTTTTTTTTTAATATGATGACTACATCATTAGCTAGTGACTAAGCCACAGGTCCACACAGAAGTCTGATTCAGCTCTAATTGGAGCCCAAAGGACTTTTACCACTGACCTAAATGAGAGCAAGATAGAGCCCAAGGTCTTAGTGAGGCCAAAAGTTTGTGTATAACACATAGAGGTGAGCTATTTTGTAAGATGTTCTGAGGGCATTTTTTAAAGTAAGCAGAGTCTGTGATTGCTGCAGGATGAAGAATGAATGGGCCCAGTCCTGCAATCCTTGTGCTCTCAGGACTACCACTGCCATCAGTGGGAGTTTTGAGACAATCAAGAAGGCAAGATCAGTCCCAATTTATATTGTTGTTAGTTTGCACATATCCTGTGAATTACATCCTGCTAGTTATACAGATTTTGAGAAATATGAGAGTTCTATAATGCATATCCACATGTGTTGTAAGCATGTCTAAAATTATAGCACATGCATATTGATGCTGGAAAGGTTCGGATCTAGTGCTACAACCAGAACCCAGTATTTTCCTCAACATGTGAAATTGACAAGTTATCAAATCACTTGTGATGTCACAAACTTCACTTTCTTACATTCCATCTTATTCCATATGTTCTCTTTATATTTCATTTTGCTATAAGCCTATTCTGCCCTTCCGAAAGGTTCAAACAGAAAGAAGAACTGGGTTGAAAATTGAGATGCAAGAAAATAAGTGACCAGCAGCAGTAGGCAAGGGCCAGTTCGTCCTTAACTAACAGGAAGTGCGCTTTCCATTGGAATTATTGCTTAATTATAGACTCTACAAATACAAGGAAAAAATGGAGAAAGTAATTACCTTTTATGGGTTTAGAGTGGAACTGCACCTTATCAGGGATAGGGTGTTCTGTTTACAATATTGAGCTTTTCCTTGCAGATAAAGACCTGTACAGTAACCAAATGGACTTAGCTCTCACTGCTCAGAAAGGTTTATAATGCAATGGAACAGGCACCAGGCAGGGATCATGTTTTTCTAGGTGGGATGCCCTGTCAGGGGGCTGCTATACATTGTACAGTCATCCCAAGCTTCTGAACAGAAATAATATTACTCCATGCTACGTGTATTTACCGTCTCGCCCCATGCCTACTCTCTCCCTGGCGCTGAGTGACTGGGATCTTGCAGGATTTACAAAGCTGACCCAACGTGTTAAAAAGCTCTCCGCTCTCTTTGCCCTCCAGCTCTGGAGCACAAACGCTGAGCCTGTCGCAAAGTAAATCACATTTGATCCCTTTCAGGTTTTAATCTGCCCGAGGAAGGGAGCAACACACACGTTATTCCTGTGAGAAACCAGACCCGATGTTTAGAGTGTCAGCAGGTGTGTCTAACTTAACGCCTAATCCCCAGTAAACGGGACGGATGCTCTAGTAACCAGGCACTTACGACATATCAGTTACGAATAAGGGACAAGAAGGCTAGGGTGGGGCAGAAGGGGCTGCGGCGGCTGCACCTTGCTTCCCTGAGCGAACCGAGCCCGGGTAAGAAGTTCAGGCGGTGGTGGGGGAAAGTCTCCGCTCCTGCCCCGCGCCCAGCAGCAGCCGGGCTGTTTGGCTTGCGAGGGAAAGGAAAGGTACAAAGCGGCTGCTCGCAGAAGGGACTGGAAGTCCTTGTTGCGATGCTGCAGGGGGTGTCTGTGCATCGGCGCAGCACTGGGCTAGTCTCTCCCCTCTGGGCTAGTCTCTCCCCTCTGGGCATCTTGGGCTCCCTCTGTTCCCCCGCGGGGACCCGCAGCTCTCGGGGTGGGGGGCTCAGCTGCAGGGGGCTCTGTCTCCCGCCCTGTCTGGCTCTCTGCTTGCGGCCGTGGCCAGGCTGGACACGGGCAGGACGATCTCTTTGGGGCTCTGCTGCTGCAGCCGCATGGACTCCTCGTAGGTGGGTAAATACTTCACCTCTTCGTAGCTGGGCAGCTGCAGGAAGACCGGGGAGCCCACCGGCAGCAGCGGCGGCTCCTGCTCGCCCGGGTAGCGGCTGCTGCTGGCGCTGCTGGTGTCCAGCAGCGAGTCCTGCGAGGTGGCAGCCGTCACGTTGAGCAGGGAGCCGGGTGAGTCCTGGCGCTGCGGCCGGTTGTACCGGCGGGGGCTGGGGCAGATGATGCGCTGCAGAAAGTAGCCGATGGCGAAGAGCACCAGCAGGATGAGCAGCCCCGAGAGCTTGCGCACGAACCAGCCCACGTTGTCCAGGAAGGTGTGAAAGGGCAGCTTGCAGCACTTGATCTCCGTGTAGGTGACATTGCCGTAGTCACAGCAGCTCTCCCGCTCGCCGCAGGTCAGCTCCCCGCAGCTCCAGGTGCCCTGGCAGGGCTGCCAGAGCAGAGCAGCCCCCAGCACCAGCAGCCCCTCGGAGAGACACTGCAACATCCTCCCCCCGGCTCGCTCGCTCCCACGCAGAGAGGGTGGCGCCCACTCACTTGGGGGGCCACCTGCCGCCTCCCATCGCCAGGGCCGGGCAGCAGCTGGCCAAGGAGCCCACCAGCCGTGGCGCCGTTGGCCTCGCCCAGGGGCCCAGCCCGCGCTGCTGCTCTGGGCACTGGAGTGGTGTGCACGCCCCGCTGTCCTGCAGCAGAGAGGGGAGCAGAGCCGGCATGGTGCGCTGCGGATCCCGCCAGCAGCTGCAGGAGCAGGAAGGGTTAACGGAGCGGGTCGGTTTGCATGTTCACTTTGCAGCACTTTAATCTTTATTAATCTATCTGTCGTCCCGTTCCTCTGTCAAACAGACAGCGCTTGCTTTGTAGGTTTCTTGGCTTAAGTGATTGGATTTCCCCGTGACCGTTATTTAAATTTACTTGCTGCTGGGATTCACTTACCATATTTCTGGTTTTATTTCTGATTAAAAATTGATGATAACCATTTAGCTGATGTTAATGGGCTTAATGCAGCTCCCCTTCCATTAGGGAGTTTGGAGGCAGTGATTGACTGGCTGTGTTCCTGCACAGGCCAGCCAGGCTGGTGTCTTCTTTGGGGGAAAATAAATACCAGGGTCACAGTTTCTTTCTAGACCACAAGAGAAGCATATGATCCAGGCAACTTTTTCTCTGCCATCCCTCAGGTTTCCCAGTCCAGGTCTATCCAAGGGGGTTTCACATAGGCAATAACCTTGAATAACAGAGCCTAGGTAGGCAGAAATCAATGCACTTTGCCAGTAACATGTCAGATCACAAACATTTCTGTGACAGTCCATTGTAAGAAGCACAAGATTCTGATGGTGCCAAAAGAGCAAATCGACAGACAGGCTGTTAAGGGTGAGAAGTCCTATTCAAACACAAAACCCAAAGAGAACGCAGTAAATTAGCATCCAAGGGAGAATGATGTTGGTATCAAGATGAGTTGGTGGTTCCAGTTGAGCAGTGGGGCCTGGTGATCAGTGGTGCTAAGAACCGGTAGCTTGACTTCAGCTAATGGAGTGGATGTTCAGCATCTCTGACAACTGGTGACCCCGCTCCCTGTGGACTTGTCTACAGTGGCAAACTACAGGGTGTTAGACAATAGTAAATGTGGTTTAGCGCTCAACAGAGATCTGGACATGTGGGGGCTTAGCATTGTGTCACCTGGCTGTTAGCCCTAGGGTGGATCAGGATAAGCCACCAAATTTTATCCTTGTCTGTCCTGTTTGCTGTGTTAATTAATATGTGTGTGTGATGGATTATTTCAATCCCAGGTGATGTCTTTGGGGACCATATTCTATTAAGTTTATGTATCACTGTGGGCTAGAGAGTATATGCAATTTCAGGGCAGGCCGGGGGGGGGGGCGAGGGGTTTACCACAACTCCAGGTGAATCACTTAGGTTGTGAACACTGGCAGAGACTTCCCACCACTATGGGGAAGTAGCATATACTGGTTCAAACTTGTTTTCAGAAACCAACAGACGAGAAAGGCGTTTGGCATAAAAAAGCTGCATTTAAAATGACTCAGGGCTTTTTCCTGACCCAGCAAACACACTGGATCTTCTGTCCAAGGGCCTTGCAGAAGGGTTGGAAAGATTTTGCCCTACTAGATCCCATAAGACTGATGGTTGATTTCTGCAAAGTTTTTAGTGTGTTTATAGCAACTTCTCTTGTTTTTATGTTTTCTCTGTAATGCATTTACCTTAAGAATAAATCTGCCTGCTTAGAAAGAGCTGAGCTGTGTCAGCCGCTGCGAGTTACGACAATACACTGTTCATAGCCCTCGGAGAGAAAAAGTAAAGCACAGGCCCTGGCCTGTAGGCAGACTGGCTTGCTGGGGATATTGGAGTGTAAGGCAGGGAGCTGAGCATTGACATCCCAGGCAGGAGGGAGAGAGACATGGGTTTCCATCTCAGAGAGGCTGGGACCTGGACGCTACACTGCACACACCAGACCCCCCCCCATTCTTTTCAGACCACTTTAAGACTGGGGCACATACCGCGCTCTAGCAGCTCCAGGCCCTGAGCTTATTTAGAGAGTTGGCCTTGGAAATTTCTTTGCAATGTTGGCAGCTCTGCTCCAGTCACTACCTCCTCCTGCTGACTGATGTGAGCTGAGCATTGCTACCAATGCACCTGAAATGAAGGGGGGGGGAAAGGAAAACCCTGCCCCAATGCAGGCACAGCACTGTGTAGAGTTATGGCAGGGTGGTGCTCCGGAGGAGGAAATAAAGCCCATTTTGACAGAGAGCAGCAGCAGCCTATTCCAGAACAGTGAGTGGCGCTGCTCTTGTTTTTACTTGCACTTCCATTTATGAAAAAAACACTCAGTCCAAAGTGCTGTACCGCTTCTGACTAAGAGCCTGCTTTTGCTCCCAAGGACATCAGTGGCAAAACTGTAACTGGGGAAGGGTCAGGCCCTAGACCTTTCCAAGCTGAAGTAGAAGAAAAGTGTCCTTAACTTCTTCCCAGAGGAGGGGTGGGAGGAGCCCAGATGTAGTGGAGTTGAGAGGGGGTAAGAGTGTGTGTTACCCGACAGAGCAGAGATATTTAAAGTGTATGTTTTAATGACTTTTTAGAAAACATTTTGGAGCTCAGGGCCTTTCCTTAAATCACCAAAAAACCAACAATCCCTAATCCTGCCCACCCCTAAGACATATTCACTCTGTACATTTGTAATGGTGTCTGATACAATCTGAGTGAGATTTTGTAAAAGTTCTGCAGCTCTCCTGGAGAGTGCCATGCTATTCATCCTCTGTGTTCTTTAGGCATGTCTTTTCCCTAGCCCTGATCCTGAACTCCTTGTTCAGGCAGAACGCCCACTGAAGTCAATGAAAATTTTGCCCGAATAATAAGGAGTTCGGGATTGGGTCCTAAGCGTGATAGGAATGGCATGGCTACTATCTGTGAGATACCTGCTTCCAGCAGCCTGATGGAGGAGTCTGAGTATGGCTGTGCATAGATGAAAAGGTTGGAAGGGTGGAAGAGCATTGAGTAAACTTCAAAATAAACTTCTGAAGTTTGACTAATATGGGGTCCCTTTGCAAACCTGTAAACAGGAATAAGGATAGAACCTCATGCTCTAGCACAGAAATAAAATGAGATTCTTTGAAAGGTATTGCCTGATATATAATCCTGATGGCTATGGTCCTACTGACTAATCCATCTCTTGCTGAAGCTTGTAGGGGCTTTTTGCATTTACTTTAATGAGTGCAGGGTTGGAGCCTCAATTCCAGAAAACATCCCTGTTCAGCGAAGCACTTAAGCATGTGCTTATCTTTAAATCAAGGTCAATGAGATTCAGACGTGTTTAAACTTAAGCACATGCTAAATGTTTTGCTGAATAGTGATGGACTTAAGTGGGTGTTTAGGTACTTTCCTGAATCAGGGTATGATCCTTTCTCTGGTGTGTTATTGTGATACATTTCCCTGCTGTTACTTTTTAAATCTTAGGCACTTTGGACTTCCCATACTTAGAGGCCTGCGCAGATACAAAAGTTGTATCCACATCCGATCTGCAAACATGGTCCGTGGATATCAATCAGATATAAAGTGGATATCCACAGATTTGCAGGGCTTTCTCCATACTAACAGACCCATGGTGGAGCGTTGTCTGGGCCAGTGTCTGGTCTCTTATAGTAGCTGATACTAGCCCCCTAGAGGAAGTAAAATAAAAAATCTGTAATGCATTTTTCCAGTTGTTTAGTAGGACACTGTAGGTGAAGATGGGAAGATTTATTTCTTCCTCACCCCAGTTGAGGCTCAGTTTAACCCCTGGAGCATGAGAATTGAAAATTCTTGTTATGTTTCTTTTAGAGACTGTAATTGTAGATGCTGTGAAGGCGGTGACACTTCTCTGTAATAATCTGTGAATACTGTATGTGACTGGGTTAGTGGGATAGTTACTGTATGGCTATCCTGGTTATTGCAATGTTTATTGTAGGCATATATTGGTTTAGTTTAATAGTGCTGTGGAGAAGCCAACTCAATGGCTGCAGGTGAGCAACCTCCCAGTAGCAGATTGGGCCTGGCTCATTAAGAAACAATGCTTGAGCAATTAAGTTGTGAGGATGCCAGGCTGAGATACCAGACTTGTTTTGTCTCGCTGGAAACCCATCAATCAAAAGGACTGTAAACAATTAAAAAAAGACTGGAAGCGGGGGCAGTTCTCAGGGGGGGAAACAGACTTGCTCAGAAACAGACCCAGCTGGCACATCGGAAGTGTTTAGGCCATCCTAAGCTTCCAGAGAGATGGTAAGCCTTTAGGTAAGACAGATATGGGTGCAGTATGTTTATTGTTTTAAAATTCTTTTTCTCTTATGTTATGCTGTGTTCCTACTGTTAAGATTAAACAATACTGTGCTTCAAGAAAGCTGTTTGGGGTCACTGTGTTCACCATGAAGAACCACAAAGGGAAGAACCACTGATGGTGAACCCAGTTAGGTCTGCTGGGTGAGCACAGTTGAATCACAGGCTGCTGCAGCCCAGGACTTGGTCTAAGAACGGGAGAATCATTGGTTTCCACTCCAGAAAAGGTAAGAGCACGAGGCCTAACACTTGGGGGGAGGGGTGGGGTGCACTCAGAGAGATCGAAGGTGCAAATAGCCCTGTAACCATGATGGATGCTATCTTTATTCATAAGTATCTAAGTCTAAAAAAAAATTCTTGCTAAACTATTAGTCTGAATGTCATCTGGTGGCAGAGCAAATAATGAACTTTCCTTTTATCTAGTTTAAATTGTTTGTTTTTTTTATATCTCCTCATGTTCTTTCATGGCCTGCTAGGTCCCATTGACCAAAAGCAACAGGATCTTGTCCTTCCTTCCAAATCAAATCATCTTAACCTTCCTAATATGGCCTTGTGATGGGATGTACAAAGCCTACCCAGATAGGAAGGGGTTAAGGAGTTGCTGTGGGTGTGTCAGGTCTGTCAGGATGGGAGGAAGAGTTCAAAAGGGACGAAGCCCAGCTCAGTAGGAGGTAGCTTGGGAAGAAAGATTGACTTCTAGTCCTCTCAGCTCCTGTGGCAAGAGGCCTGAATCATCTCCCTTGAAAGAAAGATGCTTTCCAGGCAGTATATACTTTACAACTCCTTATCTTATTTTACGAAAGTCCTAAATACAGCCAGCAATGTAAACTATGCACGTGTTACAGGGAACTTAGGATTTCTAGGTAACTTCTTTGCCCTCTGTGGGGTAACTTCTTCCTCTGCTGCTAGGGGATAGCCCCTTCCACTAGGGAAGAGGTGCTAGACATCTGCACACAACTTGAAGATTCCAGGATTATATCCATCTCCTATTACTATGCCAATAATGTGATCTTTCTCTCTGGAGTGCATCAGTATAACAGATGCA